CAGTTCCATTCACACAGCACCATTCTTACATTGAATATTAGCACATGGATCAACTGGACCTGGTGGAGGATTTGGATTGCTTCCATTATTATTAGTATTATTATTACCTGGATTTGGATTAGGTGTTGGACTACTTCCATTATTATTATTATTATTAGGATTTGGATTTGGGTTGCTTCCATTGTTGTTGGTGTTATTATTACCTGGATTTGGATTAACAACTTGATCACAATGAGGACCAGTGAAACCTTGTTGACATTCACATGTTCCATTCACACAAGTACCATTACCACAGTGAATATTAGCACATGGATCAACTGGACCTGGTGGAGGATTTGGATTGCTTCCATTGTTATTAGTATTATTATTACCTGGATTAGGATTAGGTGTTGGACTACTTTCATTATTGTTATTAGTATTATTATTAGGATTTGGATTTGGATTAGGGTTAGGATTTGGGTTGCTTCCATTGTTATTGGTATTATTATTACCTGGATTTGGATTAACAACTTGATCACAATGAGGACCAGTGAAACCTTGTTGGCATTCACATGTTCCATTCACACAAGTACCATTACCACATTGAACATTGGCACATGGATCAACTGGACCTGGTGGAGGATTTGGATTACTGTTGTTATTATTTCCAAGAACTACTTCACAATGAACACCATCAAAACCTTGATTACATTCGCACATACCAGAGGTCATGTTACAAACACCATGACCGCAATCAGAATTATTAGAGCACAAAGGTGCACAGAGAGTATCATTATAATAGTAGCTAAGACTTCCATCGCAGCCACATGTGCCATTAAGACACACCAAATTTACACCATTCATAGTTTGATTGAGTACATTATCATAGAAAGGATAATTACACTCAGAATCATTTTGGCACCCTTTCACTACAAAGCCATTAAGCAACAGCAGTGTAGAAAACAGGGACACCAAAGCAAATACAAAAGTTAGCCTTGTTGTCTGCATATTTTTTCTTGAGGTCATCTATAAGCAAGGAGCAAAAAATACTTAAAGGCTTTGGAATGCAGTTGTGACAGTTTGTGTAGACATCATCGCGGCCTTAATATGAGCATGGATTACCTTAACGGGAGCGGTTTTGAGCATTAAGATTATGCGCAACCATACAATGAACTTGTGTGTAACGTTGAAATGCACCTCTTGGTTCCTAGTAACGGATCAGCTAATTTAAGTTGTTGATTCTTCTACTTCCTTAATATAAGCTTCATTCTAATAAGCAATAGATGTAATATATTCATGTAAGTGGACCTTGTTTGACAATGAGAGACTTTTGTCCATGAAAAACGCGGAAAGCTCAAACCTTGGTGTATAATGCCTCAATTTTTCACTGAGTTGGTCCATCAAAATATTGACATTAAGGAAGATTGAGTTCGAATCCACAATGCAAACAAAGGAAACCAAATTAAAGAACTTGGGTTGATCTTTGTAATTATCATCATTGAGCAATCTATTTTTACCAATTCAGAAAAAATACAATGAACGAGAGAAACAAGGGCAGATTTGGCGTAAAAACCAATCAAACACTCAAGTTTAGTCATCAATTAAATGTAGAAAGAGAGAAGGGATGTATATTTGAATGGCAAGATGTCTCGGGACTCTACGGAAGACAACATGTAGTCTCTCATTCACTTGATAAACATAGAAGATGGGAATTGGTCCCAGAAGATGGTGATCAAGAAACCTCTTCTTCTTCTTCGCAATTCGAAGAGAAACAAGAGAGAAAGGAAAAGAACAAGGATGACAAGAGAGAGGACTTTCAGAGAAAGACTGATAAAAGTAAACATACTAAACGTTTGGAGAGAAAGGAACAAAACAAACAAGCAGCAATTTTGGAAAAGCAAAAGGAATCCCAGGCTCAAACTCAGCCACCAGAACACCAACAAGATGATGAAAAAGTTGTTAAAATTTACACATCAGGTTCTCAAATTAGAGGTAATTTGACTGCTGACAAGGCTCCGGATTTGAATATTTATGTTCCTGAGAATGAAGGTGTTAGAATGAAGAAGGGACAAAATAGACATCGTGAAAAGTATATTTACGGTGGAGATGTTGAACCTAGAAGAGAAAAGAAGGAACAATTTGTGAAGAGTATTTTTTTGTAATCAATTAATTAGATAATATTACAATAATTATTATAGAGTATTCTACTAGCAAAGAATACACTTTTTATCTTTCTTTCGATGGCTAGTATGAGTTTCAAAGCTTTTTATAACTTGAACGAGTCTGTGATATCTAATTAGAATACTGAAGGCATTGGAAACTGTTTCATTGTGTGCAGCGGATGCCATGATAATGGGACAATACTTTAGTTTCGGATTTCTTGTGAAAATTTCATAAACATCCTTCAAGTTAAATTGATATGCTGAAGAATCAACATCAACCTTATTCACAACAATGACATAGGATTTGTACATTTTCTTCTCCTTAAAATTTGATTTTAGAACCTCCTCTAGCTCTGTAAGAGATTGTCTATCATTTATCGAACAAACTAACATGAAACACTCTCCAAATTTATATTCCATTCCAAAAGAGAAAGAATCCTCAATAACTAATCTCGTAGGATAATCATCAACAATGGCATTCTTCCATGTAGTTTCCTCAATAGTTGGATCTATCTTTACTCCATCAAAATAGTTCATGACATATTGAACTGTCAGAGCTGTCTTTCCAACATTTGCTATTCCACCAACGAATATTTTGAAATCAGCTTGTCCGTAATAATTCTTATTATTTGATTCCTTTTCAAGTTGCAAACTCTTATAATTCTCCTTAAACTTGTGCATTAATTGAGCGTATCGACTTCTGTTACTCATTGTTGATGGCCATGGTATTTCTTCATCTTGTTTTGCCAATACTTCCTCTGTCCATTCCCGATGAGAGAGTCTTGCCCAACCCATCACTAAATACCTCCAATAACCATCCTGTAAATATTGATCAATTGGAGAGTCTTTCTTGAATGAGAGAGCCATCGAACAAGCTGCCTTACTTCTCATAGTTTCACCTTCCTTGTATTTAAAATTCAAAGGCTCTTGATTCAGACCACAATAATTCAAAATGATAATAATTAATTCATCGGGCAATCTGTTCGTCATATTGTATCAAAGTTAATTAAATCCTTATATTTAAATAAATTAATAATAATTATATAATATCAAATTAGACAATTAATAGTTTCATTTTTTAAAGTTCATACAACAACAAATGATTTGAGATGTGTATTAATTATCTTGATACATTTAATCTTCAATAATTAATATTACAAAAAACAACATGAAGAGAAGCAGGTTCGGAATATCTTCTTCACCAACTTCACTTTCCGAAGAAGAACAAGAAGAACAAAAACACACCAATCTTGGTAATGATGATGAAGAATTTCAACTAGTAACTTTGTCTTCTCCTTCCAATGAATATGAATCAAAACAAAAGAAGGCTAAATATGATACCAATGAATTAATTAATATTACTCATGATGATTATAATTATAATAATATTACAAGAGTAATTCTAATTGATTTGATGGAAATATTAAATACAAATCATCATCAATTAATTAATAATTCAAATAATTCACAAATGGAAGAAATTAAATTCCTCTTCAACAAATTAAGGAGGAAAATGAATGGTGGTGATTTTGTAGAACGTGCCTTCTCAACAAACTTTCATCACTCGAGGACAATTATTGGAATGGAGAATGAAGAAGAGGAAAAGTTTACATTGTGAAAATTTGTTACAATTCGAAATTGGTATTTGTGAGTGGAACAGATGAATCAAAATTAGTGGTCTATAGTTTGGATGATTACAAATTCATTAAAACTATTGAATTGGAAACAATGCCAACTAATTTATGTATTGAAGAATGGGATAAATATTCGAATGATATTATCATTTCTGGAAATAATACTCATGTTTACAAGTATAGTTTAGAGGAATGTATGAAATCAAAACCGAAACCATTGTGGATTTGTGATAAGATTAATTCACCAAATGGAATAATATCTGTCAGTGATAGGAATAATTCAAACGAAAATTATAGAAAAGAGACCTCTCTTCTCTATGTTTGTGATATGTTTACTGAATTGATTAGCATTGTCAAATCACAAACAGGACAAGTCATTGGAAATATATCTCTGCTAAGTGAAATGATTAATGTATCCTGTCCATGGAGTATTGGAATGAATAATTTGGGACAATTCATAATTAGTGGTCTACAAAACTCTAGCAAACATATTATTGAAATAATTGAGAGACAATTCGATCAAAAAAAGAATCAATACGAGTGGAAATCTATTAAAGTCATTGAGAACGAGGAAGACAAGTTAAAATATCCTTTCGGACTTGTGGTAGATAGTGTATCTTTGAATATCATTGTATGTGATAGTTTGAATCACAGATTAATGGTATTCAAACAAGATGGAACTCTGTTAAAAGTATTTGGATCGAAAGGAAGGGAAACTTTTCAATTATCAACACCTATGGGTCTCTGTATTAACAAATTGAATGGAGAATTACTCGTGGCAGATTCAGAAAATCATCGAATATTATGTTACAAATAAGTGATATTTAATGTACATTTTCTGAATTCAGAAAAATAGATTATTAGAATAGATAGACTATAGAATAGGCACATATTTAATGTAAGAGACGAGTCAAGTGTTTCATTCCCTTCACATACTTCACTCCTTCTTCCCCTATTCTGTTGAAACTAATATCAAGAAGTCTCAATTGTTTCATTTCACTAATAGATTTGGCACCTTCAGGACCAATTCTATTTCCATCAATTCTAAGATCAGTCAAGTTTGGCATTTGACTAATAGCCTTTGCTCCCTCATCTCCAATTTCATTATAACAAATATTGAGTGTGGTTAATTTATCTAGTTCACTTATAAAAATTGCTCCTTCTGACCTTAGAGAATTAGTATAGGCTTTCAGATAAGTCAATTGCTTCATTTGGCTAATGGATTTTGCACCTTCAGCACCCAAATTATTTCCACAAATGTCAAGTTTAGTTAAATTTTTCATTTCACTGATACTTTTGATTCCTTCTTGATCTATATTACTGGAACTGATATTGAGGAACGTTAAATGATCCATGCCACTAATTGATTTTGCACCTTCTGCGCAGAGATAATTTGCACTAATATCAAGTTCAGTCAATTTAGTCATTCCACTAATTAATTTTGCACCTTCTGTACCAATTTGACTCGAGTCAATGTATAGACTAGTTAATTGCTTGAATTCACTGACGATCTTTGCTCCTTGCAACCCAATTTCATTTCCGCCAACACAAAGTTTAGTCAAATTTCGCATTAGGCCAACAAGCTCCAAATACTTAATATCAAACACTTCCTCTACGGAAATAAATTTCAGAGATGTAAAACTCTCCAAAAATTGACTTTTCCTAACAGCATTGAATTTGCTATCGGTAATGTTTTTGAATTCAATTGAAAGTTTTGCACGTTCATTGATCACATTTAAAAATTGCTTTGAAATGAGGGAACACTTGTACAAGATGAATTTTGGATTTTCAATATAGGATATTATTTCAAAGCAAACATCATCAGAAAATATTTCCTTCTTGCCGAGTTCGGTTTGCTGAGACAAAGGGGTTTCAACAAGTTCACTCATTTTTTTTGAGATGTCAAATTTCATGGAAGGTCATTTTTCTATAGAAGTATGGTATTGATCCAGAGCTTAATATCTCAATGAATACTTGATAAAATCTCACGAAAAAAGAGAATATCGTAGAATAACATGTCGAGATTATGATGTACAAAATTTAAGTAATGGTATTAAAAAATCGTTTGAATAAAAAATAATTTCTGCGTCGACCGGGAATTGAACCCGGGTCACGGCGATGGCAACGCCGTATTCTACCACTAAACCATCGACGCTTCTTATTATGCATCAATTGTATGTCACTGTGAAAGTATTATTAAAGTTCGGAAATATCTTTTGGGCAATGAATTTGAATTATTTGTGAAATATTCATTTTCGATTAATTTTAAACAATCCACTTGATATTTCAAAAATTCAATATATTTACTATTTAAATTTAAGCAGTAACATTGAACAAGGCATGAGTTTCAGCCAAAATTCTGCTGTTTGGATGCTTAGAACCGCATTCACCTTCACAAGCAGCAGCAACAAATTCGTAAGTACCAACTCCCCAAGAGACTAGAATTGAAAATTAATAATTGTCAAATATCATAAATACATACTGTTGTTGTTTGGATCATCTTGAGCTTGGATTTGGATTTGAATTTCAAAAGTACCTGGTTGGAAACCTTCAGCAAGCAATTCTCCACCAGAAATATCACCAGTGACTGGACCATTACTAATATATTTGATTAATTGTAACTGTTAATCAAAATTACTTACACTTCGAAAGCAAGTTCACCAGTACCAGTTTGATTGTAGACTCTCAATTGAGAAACAGCAGTGAAAGTAGTACCCTTTGGAGCAGATTGTGGAACAACTCTAGTATTGAAGAATTGAGCACAAGTTGGGAGCTTGCAGTTGTGAACTGGACAGATACCAACTAATTGACAACCATAGATAGCATCCAAATCAGCCTTCTTGATCAAGTTAATGAATTCTTCAACACCCAAATAATCACAGACCAAGTTACAGGCAGCAATAGTGAGGGAACCAAAGTTGGACAAGTATGAGCACAAGACACCACAACTTCCTATTGTTTTTGTATCAAAAAAGATTGTGTGAAAAGAATTGACAATTCTCAGTAAACTGTTCATGTGAAAAAACTTACCAATAACACCAGAGTTCAAGATAACGTTCAACAATTGGTTAATAGTTTGATCCAACAATTGAATACACATTGGACACAAGGAGAAACCAGCCTTTGGCAAGGTAACCTTGGCACCAGTTTGCTTGACGGAGAAATTCAACAACTTTTGAGTCAATTGTTCATCCTTCAAAATATTTTCACGGATTTCATTCTTCAATTGTTGGAAAGTAGTTGGTTGGTGATGATTACGAATAGCCATACAGAATGGTGTAACGTAAATTGCCAAAATCATGGCAACCAAGAGGATTTGAGTAATCTTCATCTTAGTGTTTTTGTTTTTTTTTTGAATCAAAATTGTTTTCCTTGCCACAATTCGCTAATCGCCCCGCCATCTCGCTGCGATTTTGCCTCTGCATTACGGTTGGCGTTGATTACGGCCAGTGTTCTGTTGGGTCATTTTGGAATCATTGGCTTGTTCTCTTCCTTGTCTTCTTCGACAAAAGCTTTGTTGTGTTTGGTTGGAAGAAGATAGAAAGTGGTGGCACGTTCGATAAATGGAGATTTTCAGGTTAGATCTATCAACAGAAGAAGAGATGAAAGGAAGAGGATCGTATTTGAGAAGAGAGGTGGACTCTGTGAATGTATGGGTAATTCGGAGTCTTTGGAAACAATGTTGCAGCAAGGAAGAAGTTACGGAACCATTCACATGTGATTTGATTGGTGGAATATTGAAAGATGACACTTATTCCGGTCAATATTTTGTATTCAATAAAAATAATGAATGGCGCCATTGGTTTCTACTGCTTGCCTTTACAGAAATTGCTCCATGACAAAACTCTTGTTCTGAAATATTTGGAATTCGCTTGTGTGAATTTGAAATATTTCACATCAGTGATATCCAAGATATTTTCCATATTCAAGGTGGTTTTTAAATATCAGAAATATTTGAATTTATCCCTTTCCCGCCCTCAACAAAAAATCTTCATCCTTATTTGTGCGTTCAAGAGAAGATTCAAATATATTTGAGTTGATTTTTTTCACACAAAGAAGATGTGAAAGAGATTTTTTTTCTTCAAGTTTATTGGATTTAAGATGGAGTTTGGTTTTTTGTTTAATATTCGAAAGTGAGGAAGAAAAAGCAGGAATTTCGAATAATAGAAAAGAAATTCATCACTTTCAAGAATTATTTAAAAAAATGAATTATACACCATAGCCATTCCTCCTCCAATTCCTGCAATGTTCTCTTCTGATGATTTTGTTATGAAATTCTATCCTATTTCCATGAGGAAAATGATGGAAAATTTATTCTACTGAATTGTTCGTTTATTTCCAAGCAGTGGATGAAGAAATTCGGACAGATTTCAATTCAATATTTGAAATAGATTCTCTACTTCATTGGCAAGGTGTTAATTTGCAAAAAGTTGAATGTGAAAAAATTCGGAAAGATTTCAATTAATATTCTAGAAAAAATCAATTTTTGGAATGTTTTGGGAAATTTGGAATTTATTTGAAAGATTTTGCAAAGTTTCATGAAATAATTAAAATGATGAAAAATTTAAAAAGTCTTTCTATTGGAAATGATTCTATTGGAGAGGAGGATTTGAAATTTATTGGAGAAATGAATCATTTAACTGAACTTGTTTGACTGACGATAAAGAATGTTGGACCCAGTTAGCTATGCATGAATTCCGAGTTAGATTGGAGTTAGATGATAAACATCTTCATCTAAAGGACATCTGCATACCATCCATGGAATTTGGTGCTCTCACTTTGAAAGTATCATGCTTTGTGTTTATATTCATAATGTTTCTAATAACAAATTGAGATATTACAACCGAATGAAGACCTCTTTTACTCAATATATATTGTTTGGATGTGTTACTATCTACTATAAGGAGCTTATTGGTGGTATTTCTATGGATTTAAAGACAAAGAATTTCGAAACTGTCAATTATCCCTTTGGATGAATTTACTCACTCATAAAAAATTGAAACCAAGATGGACCTAATGGCTAATTGGTAATATCAATTAAAAGGGTCATATTATCACAACACATACTAAACACTATCTAGTGTATGATGTCAAACGTTTTTTTTGATGATTGGGCAGCAATCATGAAAAAGAGCTTGATCAAAATTTGGCAAGCATCCAGAGAATACAAATAATCCTTACACTAATGAATAAATTGCACAACTGATTCAAATGTCACAATTTTTATATTTTACTATGGACCATTTTCCTGAATTCATATTTCGAATGCAAAACCCAGGAACTGAACCACCTTATTGGTGAATCTGCATGGAACCTGCAATTGAAGGATACAAATCTTTATTGAATAAAACTCGATAATTCCGAGAAATTGATTGGTGGTTGGATATGATATAGTGTTTTGTCTCTTCTTTGAGGTTTGTTTCTTGTTAACTCTACTTGAGATTCGAATAACTATTTGAGCATCACAAATTTGGAATTGAGGTTGCTTATTAAAGGTATCAGACCATTGATAATTCTTTGTTAATTTACAATCGGAAACAACTCCATTCCTCATAAACATTCAACATATTTTAATTTTTATTTCATCAATGGAAAATAAACATATTTCCTTAACAATTCAAAAAAAATGAACAACACTAAGCGTACCCCTCGGTTTGTAAAGCCGTTAGCTTTGGTTAATAAAATTGAAGATCAAGGCTCCTCCAACAACAAGCGTTCCTTTGAAAACCCTGTAGGCGAAATGTATTCGGAGGCGACACTATTTGATTGTGAATCAACAGACTTATTTTCATGTGTTTCATTGCCACCTAAAAGACGGTTGGTAGAATCGTCATTGCTTAATACTTTTGAAGATACAGATTCTTTTGACAGACCTATTATTGAGAAATCGTTAGAAATAGTACCTAATACCTCCATTGAAATTAAATGTAATATAGGAAACATACCATCTCTGGACATGAACAGAACAGTCGATCTACTTTCTGATAAAACAATAACAAATGATGATACAAGTGCAAGCAACTTGAGAATAGATATAATATCAAAAATCAGTTTGGATACTGTTATTTACCGTGATAATATGAATAATAGAAAAAATGTGTTGAATAATTACACTCAGCTCCTTCAGTTCGTTAATGATTGCCCTAATCTTAATGTTCTTGGAAATACGAAAGCTGCCTTTCACATTCAAGTAGAAGGGTATGCCAGAACTGGAAAGACAACTCTTTCATCAGTAGTTCTTCCTTATTTACTATCAAAATACAAATACAATACCTATTCGAAATATAGAACAATACTAATCAATACCAGAAATTTTGAAAGGACTTGTTTATTTGGTGATTACATTCTACAAACCTTGCAATTCGAACTGAAGGTTCCACCACCACAATTAAAACCTTTCACACAGGCTTACTCATTTTGGCCTAATTGGTTAGCAAAACATTTAGATCCTCAAACTTTTTATTTTTTTTGCTTAGATGATATTCAATTATTGAACGAAAATGAAATGCATGAAGCAAAATGCTTTTTCAAATCAGGTTTTAATCCTGAGAATATGGTTGCCATTGTTACTGGTTCTTCACAGTCAATGTTCTTGAAGAGAATTGCTTCTGTGAGGTCGAATGGTTTTTCCTTAAATGAATGTGTTAGCAAATATGTTATTCCGAAAGAGATCACATTCAATGAAATTCAAGAAACAGTAACAGCTTTAAAATCAATTAATCAAAATGGATCCCTTACCGTTGATCATATCAAGCAATTGAAAATTGTTTTTCGAGAAATTCTTCCATCTCATCTATCAATACTTCATCATGAAAAGGAGTATTCAGTAGAAAAATTGGTTAAGGAATACCAAGGAATTTACTTGAAGGATTTTCCATTTCTGAAAAGTTATGAATTAACTGAATCTGACAAACGAATAATCAAATTTCTACTAAAGGGAGATTTTTCACATTTGGAAGGAAATCAAAGAATTGCTCCTGAGGGACTTTTTTTCTATATCGAGAAAAAAGAAGATGGCGAGTACAGATTAAGGGATCTAGTGTTGGACAAGATGTTACACTTTTGTTTCCAAATAGATCCCACATTCGGTAAGGTTATAAGAAAGGATAATCTATCTGAAACTTTTTATTATGATTTCTTTCTTTTACTTCCTGTCTCAGAATTTGGCAAAACACTTTCTAAAAATATATTCTTTCTTAATAGGTTGACTTATCCATCCTTCACTCCAAATACTAAGCAAATCAGTAGAATGCGTAATGCTTTACTAAAAGAAGCAAAATATCATTTCACAATTGACAAAACATTCCATTCAATTATTATTGGAGTGAGAAATCATGTGCTAAACAACATTCCCAATTCATCAGTTGTTTGCAACTTGTTTTTGACTCATTGGTTCAATAATTCCATTTCACAATTTCATTCATTTCTGGAAGACCTCATAGAAGTCAATTCAATCAACCTTAAAGCTTGTAAAGCACAAAAAAACAAATCAAAAAAAAATAGGAAATGGAAATGATAATATTCAGGTAGATGAGAATGCGATGGGCTATTGTTTCAGTATGGTTCAATAAATGACATTTCAACTTGTTGATACCTTTCGAATATTCATTTTAGAAATTATTTAAAAAAAATAATCAAATACGAATCACCATTCGCCTCCAATTCCACCAATTCCACAATATTCTCTGATGATATTTGTTATGAAATTCTATCCTATTTCCATGAGGAAAATGATGGAAAATTTATTCTACTAAATTGTTCGTTAATTTGCAAGCAGTGGATGATGAGTGTGAAGAAATTCGGAAAGATTTCAATTAATATTAGAAATAGACTTTCGGATTCATTGATAGAAACAATCAAGAGAAATCAATTTTTGGACTGTTTTGTGAAATTTGGAATTTATTCGAAAGATTTTGTAAAGTTTCATGAAATAATTACAATGATGAAGAATTTAAAAAGTCTTTGTATTGGAAATGATTCTATTGGAGAGGAGGATTTAAAATTTATTGGAGAAATGAATCATTTAACTGAACTTGAATTGTGTGAATGTTTGACCGGAGATAAAGATATTAGACCAATTAGTAGAATGTCTCAATTGACTAGATTAAATATTAGTAAGAATGTAAAGTATCATTTAAGCGATATCATTGAATTGAAGCAATTAAAAATACTAGAAATTGGAGAAAATTTCATAGGAGATGAACAAGTTGAACTACTTTCCAATCAATTGAAACAATTGACCATTTTACGAATTAATAATAACTTGATTCATTCGCAAGGGGCTGAACATTTGAGTAAATCGGATCAATTGACTGAATTAGATTTAAGTGGAAATGCTTTAAATTATACAATTGGCTATGAAATTGCAAAAATTGAACAATTGAAAACTCTTCACCTTAGCAAACTTTCAATATATCAAATGGGATCAAGACGTCCAGTTGGATCAAGATTGAGTTCACAATTTGGACAATTATTTCAATTGACCAGTCTTAGTATAAGTAATACTAATATTGGAGATGAGGGAGCCAAAGAAATTAGTAATTTAACACAATTGACTGAACTATATGTACATGGAGCTGGAATTGGAAATACAGGAGCCAGATCATTAAGTGTTTTACATCAATTGGCCAAACTAGATATCAGTACTAATCAAATTGGAGATGAGGGAGTTAGATTATTCAAACAATTATCAAAATTAACAGAACTTGTTGTGTTTAATAATAGAATAGGAGATGTTGGAGCACAACTAATAAGTGAAATTCCTCAATTGACCAATCTTGATGTTAATAACAATCAAATTGGAAATGAAGGGGCAAAATCAATGGAAATCAAATTGATGATCAAGGAGCTAAATTATTATGTGAAATGAATCAAAGAAAAATTGAACTTTATGGAAATAATATTAGTAATGATTTCAATTATTTAATTGAATTATTGAGCTGATTTTAGGAATTTGTGATAACTCCAGCAGTCAGTCTGGCTCCTTAACCCTATTTAATTCTTGTTAGAGGAAAGGGCTGGAGCTATTCTTTTGATAATAGTTTAAATTGTCAAGATCTTTTAAACTTTGAAACTTTGAAAAATCATTGAATGAAACATTTTCCAATGGATGATGATTCCAAATCAATATCTGAATCTGGATTTCTAAATGCTATTGATTTGATAAGTAGTTCTAAAATTTTATCAAAATCATATCCTCTCACTGTTGATGATTCCATATAAGAAATTGCTCCAATTTTCTTTGCAAAATCAATGCCGTCCTTTGGCGAGACAGTTAGTGTATTTCTATTTCTATAATTCCTCAAATCAGTCATACATCCCATTACTACATATGGAGTTTGAGGAGAGAAGTGAGAAATTAAAGGTAAAATCTCCTTTTCAATTGTAATAAAATCAGGACACTGATCAATGGTTGGAATATTGATTTGTTGTTGATCATCAAAATTATGAAATGTGCTAAAACACAAACAATACAGATCCACATCCAATAATGCATTATCTACTTCTGAATTGTTATCTTCACCGGGAAATCTGCTATATTCACATAATTTAACAGTTGCAATTTTAAGATTATTCAATTTTGATGAGTATTGAAATTGATATTCAGAATTGGAATCCCACGTGTTATGAATTAATGGAATAGTCAACAAATTCTTTTGAATTATACTTGATTTCCCACAAGATTTTGATCCAATAAACGTCACTTTAAAAATTGGCAATTTTCTTCTAATTTTCTTCATATTCAACACATCCTGATCCGAAACATTCTTTCTAATAAACTCCTCCGATCTAAAACATGATAAATTCGATGAAAATTTCATTTCTGAAATTAAATATTCAAATTTCTTCCTTTCTGAACTAAAATTTTTCTTCCCAACTTGATCGCACAATAATGAATATTTCATCATGGTTAATAAATTAATTTTCCTCTCATTCATCAATTGTAAATTCTGCTCCGAAAGAAATCTTTCATTGACACATTGTGTTAGGACAAAATTCGAATTAATTATTCGGAAGGACAAGATTTCTTCAAAGGGAAGAAAATTCAAAATAGAAAAAATAATTTCAGAGGGAAGAGATGAAAGGTGGCTTGTTAGGTTTTGTTGCATTTTTTTTTGAGAGTTTTTTTTACTTTAAAGTGCTTTACAATAGGTTTTACAATGAATGTGACGAATAAGGAGAGACTGTAGCTCAGATGGGAGAGTATTCGTTAACCCAACGAATGGTCTTAGGTTCAAATCCTAACTGTTTCTCTTTTTTAGGATTTCTTAATTTCGAAAGCAAGAAACCATACCACTACAAATCCATTAACACAATTTACAAATATACCAGCAACCCTTTCCAACCATACGTAAAGGGTGCACCACATTACAAAGATATCAAATGTAGAATTTATTATTGTCATTCAATTCAAAATTGAAATTGACACATCGCTCTCTATCAATAAAATTCTAACGTAGCTCTTTCAATAAACGTTGCTATAATTAATTTATTTATTTACAATTTTCATTCCAGTTTTTCTTTTAGTTTTATTGAATGTGTATCAATTTCAATTTTGAATTGAACGAGACATTAATAACGCAACGTTCTTTGCTTTTTTAAAGTATGATTAAGGGATTAATCCTTGGATATAAGCTGGCGTAGCTCAGCCGGTAGAGCGTTGGTCTAATAAGCCATTGGTCGCCGGTTCAATCCCGTCCGTCAGCAGATAATTTTGCCTTTCTTAAAAAAAGTATTGTTTTATTGTAGCCACAAATGTCAATAAAGTTAAAGGAAATAATATGGTATGCTCCAGAGAGGGAACAATTTCAGATTTCAATTTTGGCAGAATTCTCAAAGCGTCTCCAAACAGCAATTCATATTGTTTCATCTTCTCCTCAGAAGCATGCCAAATAGTGCGTGCATTCAACAAGTAAGGAAACCACCAATAAACACATTGCATTACCATAAATAATGTCAAATATAAACTATAAATGATTTTAAATGTCATTATTTGATTGTTGCTGTCAGAACTCAAATAAATGGCAGCAATTAAGTGAGGAAATGAATTGATCCAACTTGTCAAAATATAACCATTATGTGAAACAATTCCTAGTTTAATCCTTTTGAATGATGACAGAAGGGAGGTAATTCCAATTGCCAAACTGCCAACTCGTAGACAAACAGCAATATTTGAAATAGTTTCGCATACATTCGTATTGTTTTTTTCGAATGGATAAACTAATATTATTTCAACAAAACCATTTAATTTCATTTTCAATCAAATTCAATCAATTTTTGATAAAACACTTTGAAATTAAAAGATTTTGATTTGATACCAATGATATCCGATCTTTTTCATTTTTTAATTCAGGAGTTATTAAAAGAAAATTGGAAATTTCATATTACCCAACTCCATTGATCAATTTTTACAATGGATAAAATTTCATTTGATTATTGGATTCTTTATCCGCATTGAATTTAATCGGCTTAAAAAAAAGGGAAAATCTGAAGCTCATCCTCACATCATTGAAATGTTGTTTGTGATGATCATGTAACAAGAGAGAATAATCATCGGGTTAAATGTGTAGTGAATCTTATTGTTGTTGTTCATATTATTTTGATTGGACGGCTAATTGGAAAATTGATTCTCTAGAATTTAGAAATATATTATTATTATGATGATGATGAATTAAATAATTAAGCCTCTGATGATGATGATGATCAAATTAGCCTTTTAGGATATGTTGTCTATTAACTGATAATTTGGCGTCATCAAAATGTTTGTGTTGTATCATCTACAGTTGGGAAGATCATATGATTTTGTATGAGCCTCTTCTCATCTACAGTAAATACATTGGAACAACAAGAACTACAGTTTCAACAACAATAATTCCTCTCTACATTTCCGTAATTAAACAGTCTATCCTTTTAAGATGATGCACTTGCACCTCATCAAAATAATCAAAATATAATTTGGTAATAATTTCTAATTAATTATGATGAACAAGGAATACTCAAAGACTGTTTCCACTGTATATGACTAATTCAAAGTCGTTGTATTAGATGATCATCATCTTGTGTATCATCATGATTGTAATCTTCTTCATTATATTATTGATGAGAAGAATCGATTCGGAATGATCCGAAGAAAGAAGTTAATGGCGAAACACAATATTAGTGTAATCACCGAATGGAAATAATGTTATCAATATTAATTATTGGATAGTTACGATTGTTGCCATTCATAACTGGATGTTACTTCGTTTTTCGGCAAGCACCAACAATTTTGGTGAATCATGCTTTAACTAGTAAATGATTGCATTTTGCCAAGTATTTCTGCACTGACATACATAATTAGATAGTGAAACTAACAATTTGAAACAATTGGAAATGATTCGTCATGGTTTACAATGTTTTCTCACTGTTTGTCAAACATGGACTGCATACATGACTAGCCAATTCAGAATTTTTATAATAACGACAAGTATGATCTGGTTTACTGTCATTAATGAAACAAGATCCTCTTCATTCTAGAATAGTCATCTGATATTCGTTGATGGGTCTATTCGAATGGCAACTAGAAAGAGGAGTTATCAAATAATAATTGAGCAGTGGTAGTAGTTATATAATTCGCTCCATGAAAATGTGATGAGATCATCTCACGTACTTTGTCGTTGCTTTAACAATCCTTAATAGGTATTTCATTGAGATTTATAATATTATTTACAAGATTTTTTACAATTTCCTCGCTCGGGTTTCGTAAGCTCACAAAACAACGACTACGAAGGAAAATATTAAAAGGACGAAACCAATAACTAGAATTGACCAACTTTTGAGGATGTTTGAATAATATATTTATCCATTGCATAAGTGTTGATACAAACGGCATTTTACAAAAATAACAGAGCTGCCTTCAATAATCTCAATAATTTGACAACTTTTTCCAGTAACAACCAATAAGGGATGGGCACAACACAACCTGTCATAGACGAATCTTCTAATTCAATAGCCCACAATGTGCCTGTCAGGGTTTTTCCAAGCCTTTGGACCTTGTTTGAATTAATCCTCTGTTGTCAATTGTCTACAATCTTTAGGCGGTAGTTTCTCAAAGTTAGAAGAAGCGTTGTTTTTGACATCAGCTCTCACCGTTTTTTCTATGGAAAATTCAATATTTATTTCGCGACCTTCGTGCATTTTACTTGATTGGAGTTGCAACATTTTGTATCAACACAAGCTTTTGGTGGTGAATGCATTTCGTCTTGTTTCAACAGCTTCCTTTCCACAGCAAAAGTTTCGAATTACACAATCATGCAAACTTTGCGTTAAATAGCTTGCTGAGAAATGCAGAACTTTATCAAAAAGAAAGCGACCCTCACAAACGCTCACAAAAACTCTTAACAAATCACCAGAAACGAAACCCAACTTGAAAATGTTGAATCAACAAGATTGCATTCTTCCACAAGAAACAACAAACTGCTTCTCAAGAGAATTATTCAGCATTCTCTCCACAAGTGACCACAATGAAATCCTGAATATTTGCATGAATAATGTTGATCCTTCTCTTACTTGCGTTTCGAATAATACGTTCCCATTACTATTTGAAAATCAAACAACACAACAACTCTCACCTGTTAACAACAACAACAATATGACGAACAACGCTTCCTCTGTTGCTCTTTCACCTTCTCTCAATTGTACCAGTGCAATGATTGAACAAACTAATATTTCACACTCATCTGATACTCACTCCTCACCAAATCCTTCGACCAACTTTCAAACAACTGCTACCAGCAGCAATATTTGCAGTGTTGAATCATCTCCCTTACTGAAATTACTACAACAATCATCTGTGTCTCCTTCCTCCTCACAACCATCCATGTTTGGTCAAGTCAACAATCAAATTGTTGATTCTTCATCCATGTACACAAATTCGATAACAGAAAGCTGTTATCAATTAATTGATGAAGCTTTGAAAGATACACAATCTTCACTTGGTTTGATTTGGAGCAAGTTTGATTCGAATAATACTACGTCGAACTCCAAAGGTATTTGCACAACCAGCAATGTTTCTAATAGAACTGCTGTTAGCACTTCAACCCTTGAACAAATTTATCAGCAACAACAACCAATTGCTAGTTTTGTTGCTTGTGTTTCTAACCAATCATCACACAACAATGGAATGGACATCTTTCCATTTAATCTAGATTCTAATGCTATTAACATGCTAACTAGTGAAAAGAAGAAAAACCTCAAACGAAAACAATCAACCATTGAATCTAATTTACCAACCAAGAAACAAACCATCACTTATGAAATTCTGCCAATGTCCCAAACTGCAATCCCAAGGCCTTCACCAATCCAACATCAATCTTCATTCAATAATAGAATTACCACAACAGATAGAAGAAGAAAATACAAGGTCAGATTTGGTCCAAATATGTTTGATGAAATTTCTATCAAGAAAAATAATGATAAACTTTCAGAAGTTGTTGCTGATGCCAGAAAATAAATTGTATTTATTATAAAAATTAACATGTTAGGGGACTACTCTCGCTCTCTCACACTAATGTTTTTCATGTGGTGATGATTGGTTAGTCTCTCATCAAACTGGTCAACTGTTAACAGTTGGTCAACCAAGTTTTAAATAACATGATATGGGGAAACATTGTCAAAATAGTAAATTTATACTCTTGAGAGTATCGAATCGTCTTTCGGAAATGTTATCCTCCCTTACGACATGAAATGCATTTGCGGTCCGAAAATAGTCCTCTCCGAAACTTCATACTTGAATATAATACTTAATTGTATATTATTTAGTTTACAATATAGTCTAGGACTAGTAGATGTTGTTGTGGAAGACTCCATAATGATCTACTGTATTTTTCAATTCTAAAACAAACAAACAACAATTTCATTTGTAAAAGTTGAAATTGAAAATTTTTCATTTTGATCAAAAACAAAAAAATTATCAGCACATCTTCATGAAGGATTGCACAAAATCAAAATCAAAATATTAATTATATTCACCATCATCATCATCGTCATCATGACCCGATCATTTCTCAAAACAAATGCCAAAGTAGATAGTTGTAAAACAAGTCATCGACAAGATCCGTTCAATTTTACCTCAGAAAATTCATTTAATTTGCAATCATTTGAAGATAAAAAGAAGGTGAATAGAAAGAAGGAACAAAATTCGTATAGAAAATCTTTGAGGAGTACAATGCAATCGTGTGAGAGAATTGAAGAGATTGTTGCTCAGGGATTTGATCAATGCATGTCAAAGAAAAAGTCATCAAAAGGTTTGGCACCACATCACCATATAAAAGTTGTGGAAGATGATTTGGAATATCTTAACATTTTTACAAATATGTTAGACAGACATATTAGAAAGAAGGAACCAATCATGACACACAACTTGCATTTAAAGAGACAATTGAAGGAAAATGTAGATAACAAATTGGAACAATTAAAGCAAGATTTGGAAGAGAAGCAAGATCAGGAATTCTTAGATAAATATTTGGATAAAAGATCCAAGAAGGCTGCCAACAAGTTGAGGAAGAAAATGGAGAGAGAAGGAGAGGATTTCAAGAAGAATATCGTCGAACGTGAGGAATACTTATTGAGGAAAGAAAATGTTACAACTGAGAAAAGAAGTGAAGACTCATTGAACAAATTGAAAGTGAGCTACATTAACAGTCTGACAATTGAGGAAAAGATTGCACTCAAAGAATTGGAAAAGTTCGAACAAACCCAAAGTCCTCAAGTTTTCAAACATTATAGAAAGACTAAATCCAAGTAATGGGAGACTATGCTGACATATGTCATAAAACCTTAATGTTTCAGATTAGAATGTAAGGGACCATGGTCTAGTGGTATGATTCTCGCTTTGGGTGCGAGAGGCCGTGGGTTCGATTCCCACTGGTCCCCTTTCCCATTTTATGTTATGTTTTATTGAGGAATAATTTGTTATGTTTTTTATTAAATTTAAATAAATTAGATTATTAATTTAGAATAATGTTATTATCTTATTTGCCAGGAATGAATAGCATAGTTCCAACCAAATTATAAGCATTAGAAACTTGGTAGGTCAAAGTTTCAAGATTAATCTTTACAAAGAAAGATTGAGCTTGATGATTTTCATAGAAAACATAATAAAATTGAGAATCAATTGCAACAGCTCCTAATTGTCTAAAACCAATCTTTGAAAGATCCAAATTTGTGGTTGTCATCTTGCCAGTTTTCAAATCAAGAATTGTAAATACTTCATTGACAGTTCCTACAAGTCTATTTCCAAATCTATCAAATTGAGCATTATCCAAAGATGATGGAACATTAATTTTTGCTTCCAAATTTCTTTGCATTACATTATAGACATAATATTGATTAGATCCATTTCTATTCGAAACTGAAACATAATACTTGTGATTGATAGAGTCATAGGCATTTGAATTTCCTTCAATTCCCTCAATTCCATCCAAATAAATCAAAACACTCTTATTACCACTCTTCAAGTCATAGGTCACAATAGCAAATCTCGAACCTTCACCTGAAAGTGAAACCAATTTACCAGGAAAACTCAAATCATATTGAATATCCATTGGTGCATCATTTCCCTCCAAAACAATCTCATGCAACATTGTCAAATCATCGACATTCCACACATCGAGAGTATTCATTCCATCTGAAACTCCATACATGTAGGCATGATGAGAAAGTGGATTATAGGCAATGTTATCATACATTTCAATGTAGGAACCGTATTCAGTGGAGGAACGAGTCAAGTTTCCATCAATTGTGGAGAGGAAAGAGATGGTATCATTTTGTTTGGATGTGAAAGTTGTGGCGAGAATGGAACCTTTTACTGCTGCTTGTTTTCTTGTTTCGAAAGAATTTTTTAAATTGCTATTCGAAAGTCCAATATTCAAGGCTGCGGAGATTGGATTCAAGAGACATGACACTACACAACATACTGTGAAGAGAGTGAAGAGTGAGAGCGAGAGGGTCTTTTTAAAATCGTGCATTTTTTTCTTGGAAAAAATCTTTTTTGCTGTGGAATAATTGACTTGAACATTTTTGTAATTTTCGGAGTTGTTAGCAAGTATTATTCTTAACATGATGATAGTAGTGGTGTTGGAAACAGAATTTTAGTTGTTTTCTTAATTTTCACAAGAACTGTTCCAGAAACAGTGCAAAAATTGTGAATTTTCATCATGAAATTATTCATCAATAGTATTTGATGTTAATAGCATTAATACAATATCCACAATATCTATCTCTTTACATTCCACATGCTTTCCTTTCAATATTTTCCTTGAAATTTTTCACAGTTATGTCCTCATTGAATTTTCTTTCGATTTTGTGTGAAACAGTAAGGTGGAAATCTTGCAAACACGATGGATAAATAATCTAGATGACTGATGATCAAGCAAGATGATCTTTGTTTTCTTTGTTGAAAATTCACACAAATTGTTAAGATTTCCTTTTTGGGACAATATTAGATCCTCAATTCAATCAAAATGAATCGCTTGAAATCAACTAGACAATCAATTTGATTGTAAACAGACGAAAGATCTCCTTTTTTGTCCAATTTGGCTATTTGTTGATGTTGAATTTCAACAAGTTTATTATGAAGGAAGAGGAGTTGGTTAATATTCAATTAATTTCATTAAAAAGTTGTCTTGATCATGATGCAGTATTCATTCCCACTTGCTCCTCCATCAAACATGAGCAGTTTGTCTAGTGACATGTTACCAATACGAAAGGAAGATAAGTGTAATCTTGTCGAAAAGAAACGAAAGGTCAGAAGTGGTAAGGAAAGACCACACCAAGATTTTATATTTCACTTAAAGATGGAAAATGAAACAAGGAAGAAGAGAAAGAAAAATCCTTCAACTTCCAATATCAATTCCACAACAGAAATTATTTCAAATTCTGGAAAATCATCAACCACCTCAACTGTTTCAACAACAAGAACAAATATTTCAATAACTGATCAAACTAAAGTGACAACTACAACTACCACTACAACCACAACTACCACCTCAACAAGTAATATTCCAATTTCACATAATATTTCATCCAGTGACACTTCAGTTGTCAAAAAAGACAAAAGTTTGGCATCCATGATCTTTAAAATGTATAATCTACCTCCCAAGAAGGCCTATTCTCTATCCAACACTAAATTCTATCAAAATCTGAAAGATTCCACTTCCACTCAATCGAACTCTTTCACATGTCAAGAAATTCCAAAATGCAAAAAAGTCAACCTACCACCAACCACTACAAAATCATTACTTCCACTTCCAATCAAAGAAAATTCAATTAAGAGCATGTTACTGCCCAATTTGACAAGTGAAGGGCTGCAAGATGATGAATGGCATGATATTCCAATGTTTCACATTCCACATTTTTCATTCATTTCGAATGTGTCAAAAATTAAATAATAGAATGTAATATTTTTCATTTATTTACAAAATTTACAATACTACTACTACTTACAGAATTACCACTTCTTTTTGGGAACTCTCTTTTCAATGACATTTCTGAAAAATGTTTTTTGAGATCTGAGCAATAATTTCAAATTTAACAAGACTGAAATGGCTCCAGATTTGGAAATATTAGATCCATCCACAGTAAATGATTGTAATTCTTGCATGAATTGACTAGTTGCAATGTATCCAATTCCTTCATCAGTTATTTGATTGATTTTATAACATCTGAGACTTGTCAAAACGCATCCAATTTGTGAAATTAATTTCAATGAAGTATCGGTGAGAGATGTGTTTTCTGAAAGTGATAATGCAATTAAATTGACTGGTTGGGAAGAAGCCAAATATTGAATTCCTTCATCTGTTATTTGATTATTAGATAAATGTAAGATTTTCAATTTGGTAGTCAATGCAGATGATTCGAATCCTTTCATTCCCTTATCTCCAATTTTGTTATTGCTAACATTCAATGATGTCAAATTAACTAAATACGGACTAGTTAAAATTTCAATAAAATCCTGATCATTCAAATTGCAAAATGAAATATTCAACCGAGTCAAATTTAAAAATGCTGGATTTCTTGTAATTGAGGTGATTCTTCCATTTAGGTCCATATTATTTTCTTGAGAATACCAAGTAAAAAGTTCTCCTAAACCTAATTGTTTCAAATTGTGAAGGTATGGACTCTCAATGACATCCTTTATCAATTCGAAATTACAGGAGAAACAAATACTTGTTAAATTTGACATGGTTGGTTGCGGAATTAATTTAGAGCTCATATCTGGCAATCTAACGTACAATCTGTTCCTCTTGGTGAGATTGGTTAACTTGAGGAATGGGCTTTCGAATAGAATATTTAAATTCAATGAGATCCATTCAGCAGTTGGATACACCTCCAAATAGGTCAGAGATGCAAAAGTTGGACAATTAGCAATATATCCCAAACATTCATCGTCCAAATTGTTATGACACAGATCCAGTACTTTCAAATTAGTTAAATAACAAGGCTTCTCAGTGAGAATTTTGAGTTTCTCTGAACCTATTCCAGAACATCCCACATTTAAAATTTCCAAATTACCCAAATATGGACTTGCAAATATTTGCGCATTTACTCCATTATCATATAAATTCAATATTCTCAATTTTGAAAATACTGGACTATTTGCAATGTGTAAAGATCCTTCCACAGAGATACAATTAAATTGCAAGTTTAAATTTGTTAAATTTGACAAATGTGTGCTCGTGGATAAATGTCTAAGGCCTTCATCTCCGATATAGTTATGCTGCAGATTGAGTGTTGTTAAATTCCTCATTTCAATATTATTCGAAAGCTCTATTGCGAATGCATTTCCAATATCACAATATCTCAAATTCAAACTTTTCAAATTTTTTAAATAGGGGCTTTTTACCAATTTCTGATAAGATTCGTCATTTGTTCTATACTCCATCATGAACGCACGTCTAGGACGATTACTAGATGCATTTGTGGAATTGTACAAATTGAGTTCTGTTAAATTTTTGAAATTTTCACTTTCTGTTAAAACTTCAAAACTTTCCTTTCCCAAATTATTAAATCTCAAATTCAAACTTTTCAAATTCTTGATAAATTCACTCTTTGAAAGAGCATTAATTCCTTCAAAATTAATTCCATTACTTCTCAAATTCAAATGTTGCAATTGACCAAAATCGGCACAATTTGCAAGTAATTTCACTCCCTTATTTCCAATATAATTGAACGAAACATTCAAACTAGTAATATTCCTTCTCCAATTCACTTCAAAATCATCTTCCATTGTCTCTGTGAATTCTTCATCATTGGCATTCGAATTGAAAAATAAATTCAACTTGTGTGGATGAATTTTGTGAATAGAAAAATCAAGATTCAATGCAAATCTACTTGCTGCTTGTCTCCAATCCTTGGAAACAAGTGAAAATCGTTTGATAATTTGCAAATGATCAATAAATGTCATGATGTGAAAAATCATGTCCAGTGGAAGAATCACTGTTTGGTCAACAATATTCGGAGGAGGATTCATTTGCATGTTGTTTGGTTAATATTAACTGGTTGATTGGGTGGTGTGGGTGGTCGTTAAAAGAATATTTGGTTTTTTTCAACAACACAAGAAACAAATTGATGACCAAGTTTGAAATTTAAAGCAATTTTCAAAAAGCTTTTTTTAGATCGAAGGAAGGTTACGTTGGAATTATTACTTTTATCCTACAATCAACTCTAAATTCTAGCTTACTGTATCTATAATTTTTCCTTTTTCTCAAGATTATTCTTATTAATGGATTCCGAGCAAAACATCTTTATCATTTTTTTAAATATTAATTGTTTTATTAAGAGTTTGATGTTTTGTATCATGAAAAAATCCACAACAATGAAGTGATTAAGAATTGTATCCATGATGAAGGAAGGATTCGTCATAACCAAATCATCTAATATTGGCCAATACACCAAGTTCATCCTTTGTTCAAACTCGTCAATACATCAATTTTAATTCTAATTAATTAGAAAAAAACAACAATTGTTGATAATTTCAGATCCAATCAATATGGAAACAATCAAGTGTGTACTTGTTGGTGCGAATAATGTTGGTAAAACGTGTAGTTTAATTTCCTATACGACCAATTATTTCCCAGAAGATTACGTTCCAACAGTTTTTGATAATTACAGTGCTAATGTTATGGTTGATGGCAAGCCTTTTTCATTGGGTTTGTGGGATACTGGTATGTATATTGGTTATGATCATGATCATGATCATCTTGAATCGATGATCGGGTGATTATTTACAATGAATTTAATTATTTAATTGATGATGATCTTTTAATTGGAAAATAATTTTAGCTGGACAAGATGAATACGACAGATTGAGACCATTAAGTTATCCACAAACTGACATTTTCCTGGTCATGTTTGATGTTGGTGATCGTTCTACATTGGATAGTGCACTTGGTAAATTTGTTAATGAAATTCAACACCATTGTCCAAATGTTCCAAAATTGTTAGTTGCTAATAAGATTGATTTGGATAAGAGACAGGTCAGTAGAGAAGAAGGTGAAAGATCAAGTAGAGTGAAGGGATTTGATGGTTATTTTGAAGTTTCTGCTCGTACTCAACAAGGATTGAAGAATATATTTGATGAAGCTTGTAGAATTGCAAGTAGTAGAAAGGCTGATAGAAAGCCAGTTTCTTATGATTCAGATGCTTCATCTGAAGCTGAAGAAGAAACTGAATGGGATAAGAAGGCAAGAGAAGTTGAAGATCCATTCCCAGAAAAATACAAATTTGGTATTTATTTAATTGATCAATATGGAAAGACTGTAGAGGATAAATTCATTTTGAAAACAGAAGTTGCAAGCTATTGGAAATTACTTGTTGCACTGGTTAAGAAATTGAGAGATTTTGGTGGAAAGAAAGATGAAGAAGAGGAAGAAGAGGAAGAAAAGAAACTCGTTGCAAACTACTTTGACGATAATCAATTTAAAATTTACATTGAAGATCCAGATTTTAAGGATTTCTTCTTATTGGATTCTTTTGAATTATTGAAAGAAGTTGGTGAAAAGTCCAATAATAATGTCAAGTTGCAATTGGTTGGTAGTTGGTAAAGGTGATGTCTTGCATTCATGAACAGTAGATCAATAAACTATTTTCTATAGTGAGAACGATTTGAACCCCCAAATTTGGTCAACCATATTTGATTCCATTACAACAAGTTGGTAGATGTGCACGTTGTTGTAAAAGTTGTCTTTCAAAAAAAATGGAGCATTCCGCCCCAGTAACTTCACCAACTTCACAATGCAAGCAAAGTTGTGTTTGTTTTTACTGTCCTAAACCTGACACTCTCATTGAAGATTTCAAAACTGGATGTTTAATTTGTTATGAGTGTGGCTATACTATTCAGTCAACTTATGAGTGGATGGATAGATCGGATGGTCCAATAGATTACCAATCGAGTTATGATATTATTTACCGATAAATATTTGATATTAGTCCATGTTTCGTAATTATGGATAACGAAATGCTGTCCAATCTTCAAATCCAACTATTTGAGTAATAAAGAAACTTCTTCGAATAATCTATTGGCCAATAGTTATTTTAATTAGTTCTCTTGCTAATAGAAATCTTCAAATTATCCGGTTTGGTAGTAACACTAATCTTTTTCCCAACTGGATCCACACTCTCATCATTCAACAATTCAAAATCAAATTTCCTCAATAGAGAACTAAGAATTGCTGTAATTTCTGCTAAAGCCATTTTGTATCCTATGCATTTACGATTTCCCAAACTGAAAGCAATCCATGTGAAATCATTTTGAGCTCTTTCTTTTTGCTCAGGAGTGAGGAATCGTTCTGGAATGAATTCTTGTGCATTCGTCCAATATTTTTCATTTCGGTTGACTTCACAGAGAAGGAGATGAAGGGAAGTTCCTTTTGGAACTGCAAATTCTCCAATGGTTGCATTCTTCTTACAAACATATTTGGCAACTTCAGCTATTGGTGGATGTAGTCTCAATCCTTCGAATATTACTGCATTGAGATAATGGAAATTGTTGTAATCATCCAATGACATCCCTTGTTTTCCTTTCAAGACCGTGTCGATTTCTTGTTGGCATTTGAGTTGAATTTCTCTTCTTTTGGCCAATTCATAGATTATCCACTTTGAATAGGCTTAATAACATCATCGAATAAGAAACTTACGGAAATGGCTGTTGAAGTTGTTTCAAATGCAGCTAAAGCAAACAAAATTACATTACTTTTCAATTCCATATTTGTCAAAATATTATCTTCCATGTTGGCTTTTACCAACAAGCTTAACAAATCTCTTCTTCCTTCTGTTGTGTCATTCATTTTGAATTCCTTCTTTCTCTCACTAATGGCATTATCCAACACGTTGCCCACAACATTTAATGCATTTTCCACTCCACTAATCTTTGAAAATATTGGGAACAACCAATCCTTCTCATCGAAGAATCTTCTCAAAATCAATGCTCTTTTCATGATTAATTGTAAACTTGAAATGAATTCATGATTTTCATTCTCAAAAATTGAAACATTTTTCAATCCAAAAGCTGCTTTCAATAAAACATTGGAGGTAATCTTGTCGAAATCTGTCAATTCCAAAAGAGAACTGTCAGATGTTTTGTTTGACCATTGTTCCATAATTTTTTCACTCGATTTCACAGCAACATCACAAACCAATTCCAAATTAGCAGTAGAAAATGCAGGAGATGCCACTCTATGGTGCTTCTTCCAATTTTCATAACTGTCAGCAGACAAGATATTTTCACCAAACAAACTAAACATTTCATAAATAAAACTTGGCTTTCCAAAACTGCTTGCCTTACTCACACAAACCTCCTTCATCAATTCCTTATCAGTAATCCACACTGTATTATGATTAAACATGGAAACTTTAAACAATGGCAATGGAACTTTTGAATTGTTATTCAATTTCAAAGTATGAGAAGCCGTCTGCTCAGCTCCAATAAAATAGACATACGGAGAAATGATCGGAATGGCCATTGGAGTGATCGTGAATTGAACAAAGCCTGGAATATGTTGCAAGAGTTTGTAATTTTGGTAAATTTTGGTGGAAATGTAAATGATCAGTGAAGCGATCAAGCAGGTAAGAAGAGTCATCATCACACTCGTATTTTCCGTAAGGGAAAAAGTGGATTCACTTTGAGACATTTTTTTTAATAATAAAATTAAAGAATTATTGAAATTATTGAAATTAAATTTATTTTACATGTAATACTATTGAAATTATTGAAAATAGATTACGAATCAAGGAAGACTATTTTTGTAAAGTATTTAATTATGTAATATTTTACAAAATCCTAAAAAAGTTGGAAAAATTAATCAAAAAAAAATGTCATCACTATTGTATCATCACCTTGATTGATTTTCACTCCCCGAACACAACCAGCACACAACAAACAGCATCGGCATCATTTCTTTATTCCTTACTCCGAGAATTTTATGCAACCGTACAAGAAAAACAAGTAAAACGTTTAATGCAAATGGATATGCTTAGGCTGATTGAGTATGATCCGCACAATTTTCATTTATTGATGGAGGATTGTGAGGCACGAGATGAATTGTTGGATAATGAGGAGTTTATGATGAAAGTTGTGAGTTGTGATGGAAGATTATTCGAATATGTGAGTGTGAGATTGAAAGAGTATTTTCCACTCATGTTGGAGGCTGTTAAACAGAATGGTATGATGATAGGTGAAATGGAAGAAGAATTTTATACGAAAGAATTAGTGTTACAAGCTGTGAAAGAAGATGGACAGGCTTTTCCAGGGTTTGGGCAATATGATATGGAAATTGCAAGAACAGCTGTTGAAAATAATGGACTAGCTCTGGAGAATATAAGTGCCTCATTAATGACAGATGAAATAATTCATTTAGCTTGTGAAGAGAATCCAATGGCAAGAGAGTTAGTCCTTAATCAACGAATCAGGAACGAACATGTGGCGAATTTAGTGGCGGGGGAATTGATTGGGATTCCAAAGATGATTCAATTGCAGAGAAGATACTCAAAACAGTCATGAAAGAACACCCAGAATCTTGTGAATACTTGGATAACTTTCATCTCTCAGAGGAAAAGTATTTCCAATTAACCAAAACTGCTCTCAAATATTCGCAAGATTTGACTATTTTAGATTTTAGTAGAGGTTTCACAAATGAAGAATATGAAGAATTGGCTAAATATGATGGCGATATATTATCCATGGTTGATGCATATTTTCACACGAGACGAATGGTTTGTAATGCTGTGGAAAATAATGGAGCTTTAGATTTAGCTGCTGAGGAATGGCTTGATGATTGCTGCTTGATGAAGGACTTGCATTGGGATTTGCATCAGAAGAATTGCAGAGAGATGAGGAAATTGTAATGGCAGCTATAAGTAATTGTGGACTAGCTCTTGAATATGTGGATGATAAGTTTTATTATGATAGGGATGTAATTTTGAAAGCTGTTTCTCAGAATGGACTTGCTTTGGAACACGCCAGTTACCAAGATGAGGAAATAATTAAGGCTGCACTCAATCAAACCGTGCTAGCTTCGTTTCATTCGTTCAACATGAATTGCTCACAAAAGAAATTATAATTACAGTTCAGAAATTTGGAGGAAATTTACGTTATGCATCGACATTGAGATCTGATAAGGAAGTTGTGTTGGCTGCTGTAAATTCTTGTGGATTGTCCTTGAAATATGCTGATAGCAAGTTGTTGGATGATCCTGAGATTGTGAAAGCTGCCATTCTCAATAATCCTTTCAGTATAAGGTATGCCTCCAAAAAATTAAGATTGGATCTGAGCTTTGCTAGACTTGCCAAAGAACTGAGAGAAGCTGACCTTTCCAGATTTGATACATGGCAAGACATTACATGTATGTACAAAAAACGAAGTAGAGCTACCTTTGATGATTCTGAATCAGATACAGACGATGAGGATGAGGAGGAAGAAACCGAGAGTGATAAAGATGAATTGTCCCAACCACCAAAACAATTCAAAGTTGAGTAAAAATTCGCGGTCTACAGGATTCGAACCTGTGCGGGTCGCCCCAATTGATTTCTAGTCAATCACCTTAACCACTCGGTCAAGACCGCTTCTCCTTAATATTGTGATAAATCCTCTGCTGTCATTTTACTTCTAATATGTTGCAACTTCCAAAAAATTGCATAATGCTACCTCACCTAAATTTTTCAATGGCAAGAAATTCATAATTGTTATTATCTAGAAGCTTTCTCAATTCCACACTTATTGAAGGGTTATTTGAAATGGCCAAAAGCTTTAGCCATGTCATGTCTAGTATTGAAGTAACTCCCTGATCACCAACAGTGCAATAATTGACAAAAAGAGAGTGCAGTTTTTTCATTCTACTTATAAATTCAATTCCAATATCACCAATAGGATTGTGATTAATGCTGAGAATTTTCAATTTGGCAAGCTTACTCAATACTTTCGCTCCAGAAGGACCAAAATCATTACAATCAGCATGTAAGCATGTCAAGTTTTTCAATTGGCCAACAATTTGTGCTCCAGCATCCCCAATATTATTATAACTAACATCAAGAAAAGTCAAATTATAAAGTTTTTCCATAAATAATGATCCCTCAATACCAATATCATTGCTTCTAATGTCCAGTTTTGTTAAATTAGTCAATTTACCTATGAAACTCCTCCTTTACTCCAATCTTGTAGCCTAGAATATTCAAATCTGTCAAGTTTGTTAGCTGGCTCAAACATTGAGCTACCTCAGCACCAATATA